ATTTCTGAAATAAAAAAAACAAATAAAATCGAATTGTAATACCTATATGATTCATGTTGATTAATAAGAAAGTCTATACGGGACAGTCTGTTTTTTGTTTTTAAATGTGAAAACTACAGAACTGATATAGACACTTTATTAGTAAAATAGTCCATGTTATATTTATGTATTTTTTAAATATTACAGATTGATTTATAAAAAAATAATACATAAATTATTAGTAGAAATTTTTAATTTAAAAGATCGATCAAAGCCACAACAGGGAAAGTTATTTATTAATGATTTATTGAAGAGAAGTAGGTTGAGGTGTTCAGCCAAAAATAAATAAATAATATTTATTTTTATTTTTGCAGACGTTTCAGCCCAAAGTTCAGGCCTTCATCAGTGCTAAGAAAAGACCAGACAACAATAGGTATGACAAACTATTAACATTAAAAAGAAAATAATAATATGTAGGTGAAAGGTATAGTCTAATAACATGTAGGAAGAATTAACTGAATATTAGTAAATAAGTGGAAAGACAGAAATATGAAATATAAGTAAAGGAAATATAAAATAACAATAACAAAGTTAGAAATAGAAAGCAGCAGAAGCATAGTTAGGATATACAACATAACAGTAACAAATTGAGGAATTTATGAAAAAACAAAACAAAAACATAGAGCAGCTTATGAAATAATTAACAATGGCAACTGCTGAAATTAATATAATGATTGAAAAAAACAGGAAAAAAAGTCGACAATCAATCCACTATTATTAATGATTTAAACTGAATTTTACTTTAAGTACAAATATTTTCTTTCTTTTTTTTTATTATACAAACCGGCCAGCAAGGACCACACGAATATTATTTTTGTTTCCTCTTCACACCCTCAGCCTTCCTCTTACTCCAATACTCCCTCATCCTTCTGGACTGTTTCTCTCGCTCTTCCTTAGTCCATTTTCTCCCTTGTTTCTCCATCCTACCTACTAGAACCCCAACCCCTTTCAGTTTTTTCCTAAAAAGCTCTCTTTCCAAGCAATCTTTATCCATCATTTTTAGCCTGTCTAGTTCCTCTTTTATTTGTTTTACATATCTCTCTATACTTTTATAGCTGCAAACTTTGTCAAAATTTTTCTTTTTTAGTCTTTCACTATTCATCCTGACCATGTGCCCGTAGAACCTCAGTCTTCTTGTCCTGTAGACTGTTTCCAAATTTCAGTATATTTCTTTATTGGATTTTAGTCTGTATCCCTCTTACGTTACCTTGGGTCCGTGAATCCTCCTCAGAATCTTCAGGATTTTCTCTAGGCTCGGAAGGCTGACTGTTTCCATACCATATAATATTGCAGGTCTTGCTACTGTACAGTAATGCCTTTTTTTGCATCTTTGCATTTGAGGACAAATTTTTCTTGTAAACATTCCTAGTGGGGACATTAAACATTATAGTTAACATTAAACATTGCTTTTATTTGTTAATAACATTAATTATTTGTTGATAAAATAATTATTTTTTAAAATTAAATTGGTTGGATTGATTTTTGTGTTGTATTAGCTATTAAAAATTGTATTTTGGACTCGCGTGAGCGTGTGTGGGTATGTGTGTGCACGTGAGTGCGTGTGTGTGTGTGTGTGTGTGTGAACAGTCTAGCTCAAAAACGAAAAGTCGTACGAAACTGATATTACCTATTCAAGACAGGTTATGACTGAGAGGTTAGAACAACTTTTCTCTTAAAATCAGCTAACCGGAAGTGCCACTTTATATCAATGATAAAACAGATTTTTACAATTTTCTCAAAAATGGATCCAACGATTTTGATTAAACTCAGTGTGACATAGTATAATTAAATCGTATTAAATATCACTGAGGTCTCATCCCCATTGATGTCAATTTACAGGGCTTAAATAGGCCTTCTTAAATAGGTCTCTTATAGGTCTTCCTCTAAAGTATTTTTCATATGATTTATTTTGAAAAAATTAAATCTCTTCTATTGACAGTAACTATAAAAACTGACTAAATATAACTTTTGAAATAATTAAATAATTGAATAAAGGAGAAAAAAAGAAAAATGATTTTCCAGGTCGAAAATGAATCTCCGGAAATAATAGTCAGAACGTATACATATAATGTTACGCTAGAAAACAAAGAATTTCAGAAAAAATAATATCAAATAAATAAAGTTGTAGAAGGTAATGGAGAGAGAGGAAAAAAATATAAATAATAATTTCAGAAAACTAACGTTATTAAATATATAACACATGTTTCCAAGGATATTTTCTTACAAAATGTAAACTTTAAAATTTTTTTTTTAAGTTTGAAAATTTTTTTTTAAATCCACCGAATCATGCCAATGCCATTGTTTTAAATACTATTTCATTTTACTTGTGTGAAAGAAGAAGTGAAATATAAAAATATTTCTTGAATATGTTTATGACCTTAAATACATTTACTGTAGTTTAATAACTCTAGATATGATATTATATTTAAATAATGAGGTACCTATTGGCAATTTATTCCAGAAAATCATCGATAATTTTTTAGAAAATCTAATTAGTGAATAATTTGAAGAATTTCCCCTTTGTGAAATCCCAACATTATCCACTTACAATTAGTGTAACAACTTTTGACCTATCCATGGCAGGTCACGGAAAATCTCGTAATTTCATTTTAATAAACTTTACAACGGAAAATAACAGTTTAATAACTAATAGTCCTACAATCCATAATCATTTATAGGTTAAATATTGAGATATACAATACTTTCAAATCTCTCTAGGCATATATGAGCCTTTCGGTTGACAGAATGACTCCAATTTAAACATTGTTTATTATTAATGTTAGTGATATTTCTAGTGGTAAAAGTTATACCTTTATTCACAGTTCAATATTTCAACACTGCAATCACCTACTCTGGAATAAACTTACTCACTGTCTGTATACATATAACTTTTCCAACTAGAAATATCACTTGACATTACTCAAAAGTGTTGAAATTGGAGTTAGTCATTCTGTCAACTGAAAGGCTCAGAGACTGAATCTGTGTGGTTTATGAAATCAGATGGAGTAACTAGATTTTTAATGCCTACCGTCGATATAATAAATAGACTATTTGTAATTTTAATGGTCTTAATGATTTGTTATCTGTAAGCTTTAAGCTTTAGTTCTGTTTAAAATGCACTTCAAAAATTTTATAACAGCCCAACAATGACAGATAATAATTTCTATTCAAAGTAGAGCGGTAAGTGAAAGTTGTGTGTTGCCCGCACCAGATTTTTTACATAATTTAATATAATTTACAAATAATTATCAGAAGGTAAATCTGTTAAATTTAAAAGCTAATGCTAAATAAATTCTCTGTAGATTCAATGATCAGTATATATTATTATTATTCCAAAAGAAAAATTAACTAATATTGTTTATAAAATACAATGCGAGGATTGTGAAAATAAAGCTTATTACGGACAAATCTCACAAAGTTTTGAACGTAGGATATAGCAACATAAACAAAATTGCAGGTCTAAAACGACAAAATCAAAATTAGCCACACGATTATTGCAGCATACCACAAAAAATGGACATAAATTTGATTTCGGTACTGCTTCCATGTTGCACAGAGAACAGAATATTGGGAAACGTAGAATAATTGAATCCATTTTTATTACTAAAAATCTCAAATATTCGGTGAATCAACAGACAGATGTTGATAATTTAAACACGTTTTATGCTAGCTCAATAGACAAAATTAATATATAATATACTGATATAAAACAGCTGATCCCTAACCCTTCCACCCCACTCTTTTTGTAAGTAAATCCAGTCCTGTATGAATGCCCTCGTGAGGAGCAACAATTTCTTCATATTGTCTGCAAATAGAGGTATATAAATCGAGAATTAATAATATTCTTTTTAAAAATAATATTAACAATCTATTTTAATTTATTATTTATATATTACAATTTTTAGAAATGGAAAACGAGATTCTTTGAAATAAAAGAATGACTTAAGGACGAATCATATCGCAGTGATACATTTTAAAAATTTTATGGTGCGGTGCATGGTAGGTGGATATGAATTTATTCAAAATTAAAAATAAATTTTGGACTAATTGTATTACTTAAGGTTGTTAAATAATATGTGCCTGATAAGGATGTATTTGAATGGTCAAAAATAAATTAAAATTAGTTTTGCAGGATCTTGAAAATCGCTCCTGAAGCCGAAACGTTGAATAAAGAATACAGGAAATAAAAAAACTGTGTATATTTGGTGACCTTTGGCCTAAAATAGATATATATAAAAAAAATTTGAGAAAATGGCACCAAACCTGAAGGATGTGACTAGAAAAGTAAATCTGTTAAATTTAAAAGCTAATGCCAAATAAATTCTCTGTAGATTCAATGATCAGTAAATTTTTTAGATTATTTAAACTAAATGCAGTATTTCTGTACTAATTTCATACAATAATTAACAAATAATGACTACCTTGCTTCAGATCGTGACTGATAAAATCCCCTTGAGGGATCTGAAACAGAAGTAGAAAAGAGGTAAGCAACAGGCACTGAGTGATGAATTCCTTCAGTTCCGCCAAGGTCAACTGCTTTCTCTCGGGTAGAACTGTAATTCACATAAGAGCTACAAAAAAGTTAAAATTAGTAAGAAAAAATAATATTAAGGGGAGTATCAATAAAATTATTGTTTTATCAGTAAATGTAACAAATGACAACTTTGTCCCTCTCAGGAGATAACCAACCCGCAACTAACATTTTGAAGGTTAAAAGATTATAAATATTTAGTTTTAATGTAGATCACAATTGTTAAATAATTTATAATAGCTAATGCAACTCAACAGAAGGTTAAATACAAATGTCCATAATATTTTATAGAAAGGAAAATGAGTTTAAAGCAATAAAACTGATCAACCAATCTTCCCAATAAATTACAATTTTAATCAATAATTCATTCATAAAGAAAGGTATTGCTCATGGTCTTACCTATGCTCTTTATTTTTCAGTGTGGCTTTTGATGCCTGCGCCAAGAATCCGCCCAACGCCACCAAAAAAAGTATTTTCCTCTATAAATTAAAATATATTATCAAAAATAAGAATTAGAAGTCATTTAATCTATTTAATTGATGATAAATATAAAATATTATGCTAAATAGATAATAATCATTTTCAATTCATTTGAATAGATCATTTACGTATTTTAATGGTATTAAGTACAAAGTTATGTTCATGGTTTCTTTTATTTTCTCATCACTTAATTAATGTAATATCCTTATTTATATGCTCCTACCAAGAGAGGATGGACAGAACATCTATAGTTAGTGTTATCTACATAATAACTACAGGGAGAATCAAATCATTATTTATAATTCTCTGATGTGGTATACCACAAATTCTAATTCTCTGAAGCAAGAAATGAACTATTTTCCAAAAACAGGCTTACCATTCACCATGTATTTTGTTTCTTAATTTTTTAAAAGAGAAAAGATTTATTCGTGACACAGTTCAGAAAGTAGAGCAGGGATCTCTTGGAGTCCTGATTTTTCCTCTATAGCCTCTATAGTTGGGGGAACCACAGGCGGATCTATGTCACGGAGGGGAGGCTTTTGGGTTGAAGACCCCCCAAAAAAAAAGTTAAAATATAACCATGTCTTATGATCAAATATTAAAAAATTACCTCTTAAAGTATTATTACTCATGTAATTACATTTAATAGGGCTTTAAAAATGACTAATACACCATTTCATATAGTTTATTTCTTTCTTTTTTTTCCAAAGTAATTATTTATATTTATATGATAAAAAAAATTTCTAGCTGAAGCTCCCCGACAAAAATTAAATCCTGCATTCCTAAGTTGGGGAGGGGGGCAGGCCTGGTTTAGGATTCCCTGCCTGATTTTATATATTGTATATAGGTATGACTGTGTTATTAATTTACTTATCTTTAAGTTATTTTATATTTTATAGTATATTCTTTTTAATATTATTTAGTTGTTATTTTGTTTTTGTTTATTTTATGTTTTCTGAATATATGGAGTGAATGTGTTCATATCTCATTATAATTATTATCCGTGTGGCAGATTGTTATATTTATGAGATTGTACAGAGTATTGGAACTTACCAGTACAATCCTTACAACATACTGAAAAATAATAAGGAAATGAAGTAATTAAGCTTATCATTTATCAATATATGAAAAATAACTCTTTAATTCTGAATGAAAATAATCACCAAAAATCAACTTTTAGTTTTTTCAAGGTTTTACTATTTTCATTCATAGACCCGTCTAAAACAAATAAGAAATAAATAAAAACCTATACGAAACCAAAGCAATTAATGTTACAAAGAATTATTTCCATATTTTTTCCTGGAAAAATTCAGATATATTTTGTTATTTATGAAGAAATAAGTCCATAAAAGTTTACAATTTTTCTGAACTAAAGGGTTTCTATACAATAAATGTTTACAGCGAAGATAAAAATGTAGAAATTAGAAATTGTGCATAAAAACAGAATGATCTGGTGGAGCTGGGTTTAGACAGTGCCCGATGGTTGGAAGTACGTACACAATTGGTGGTATGATCAGCATGAAACCTTTGTGTTCGCTAAGCCTTATGATTATACATAAAATTTTTTTTTTAAATTTTGCAAAAGTGCAGATTTTGAATTGACCTCCCAGCAAGATCCGATTCAAATACATGGTTATGGAGACTCTTTGTGCAACCAACTTTTTCATAAAAAATTATATAGCTTATTAATTTTTATTTTCTCTTGTAATCAGTAAGATGTTTAAAAATTTAGTCACATTTTACAAGCTGGGGTGAACTTTATTAATTTATTTACAGGAAGTAAAGTTATTCTTTGTGATGGAATATTTAAAATATAAACTATATATAACTTATCTAAAAAATACTCAAACTAGAAATGGTACTATAAATAATAATGTGTCATGTGAACTGAGCTTTAGAGAAAAATAATGAAATAACAACAATAATTTCATATATTTATACACATTAAGTAAGGAAATATTTATTTTCAAATAATTACAGCACGTGATGATAAAAAAAAAAAATAGTTTAGGAATACATTTAAATCAAACATACGCAATAGTCACAAAAATCAACGTCATTCCTAAATTCTTGATCAATTTTGGTTGGTATTTCCCAACAACCATTTTTCATAAAATTTTGTGAAAACTTTATAACATTACTGTTACCTTCCGCAACAGTGTAGCTCTAGCATGAAGACAGTTTTCCTACAGATTTAGATATGGAGTATTCGTCAGAAAACTATTATTATATTCCTAAATTAAAATTTATTTAGTTTAAACTCACAAAACGATCAATAATGTTGTCCCAAGCGCTAATGCTGTCGAAGTCGGTGTCTCAGCCATATAGGCACTATTATTGTGAGTTTGGAACTTTTCCAAAGAACAAACTGTTAACAAACGCAATCATGATTATATTCTGGATCAGATCCAATGATTTAGTTAATTGTGTTTGTGTCGTCATTGAATTAATTACCTAATCACATTATTCGGAAAGAAACAACCCTGTTTGTTTCTCCTCTGCATAACTGAAGAGTGGCGTCTTAATACATTTTTGAACTTCAGCAAAGAATGTTGGAGATGCATTATATATCAATTTTCATAATTCCTAGGACAGTTGCTGGGATGTCTCACGGGCAGATCTGCGGGGGGGGGGGGAGGGGGGAGGGGGAAGGGGGAGGCTTTCGGTCTGAAGCTTCCTCCCCCAAAATGATAATATATAACCATGTTTTATTATAAAAACTATCTCTATAAGTATTATTGTACTTCTAATTATATTCAATAGGACTTAAATAATCACTTAAATACCATTTCATGTAGGAACTTGGTTTATTTCCTTCTTCCGAAGAAATTATCGTAATATATACATACAAAACAAAAAAAAAAAAAAAATTAAATCCTGGATTCGATAGTGGAATGTCATATATGTATTTATATGTATATCCAAATATAAAATTGAGCTTTTAAAATTTATTTCCAAAATAAACCTAGAATTAAATCCAAATCCAAATCATAGAACAGACTGAAGTTATGTGTTTTGTTAAATGTTTAGTTTTATGTTTTAAATGTTTATTTTATATATATGTATACATCTTTTATTTTTATTGTCCGGATCAACGTACATTCAGAGTTTTATTTCAAATTTATATATTGCTATCGTTAGTTCAATGTTAATTTGTAAATATGTTTTTTTTCTTTTCCTTTTTGTATTTTTATTAATCTATTTATTTTTCAACATTATTTTTATTTGTATTTATTCACAATGTTGTTAATTCAGTTTTATTTTATGCAAAGTATTTCTGTGCATATATCTAGTTTATTTGCTATTTTTATTTATATTTACCTATTTTTATCTTACTGTTGTGCTAGTTCACGTATTTTATTCTTCAATGTTTATTTCATATTTTATTATATATATCTTTAACATTGTAAGTTAACTTACTTTAGGCGAATGTTCTTTTGTATCAACATACAATTGTCACACAAATTTAGGTTGCATACAATAATCTAACTGTTCTCAATACTTGAAAAAAATTAACTCTATTTCGTATATATTTGCTATAAAAAAAAAAAATCTTATTTTCGTGTAAACAAATATCGTAGCTTTAGTTCTATTTTGTTTTTGTTTTCATTTTTATTTTCCTTAGTTTAAGTTGTTTTCTTTAATTTTATAGACAAAAAGTAAGTATAGCATAGATAAAATGTATACATAACATTCATATATATAATATGCGAATTTGCATGGCGTAAAAAAAAAATGAATATATATATATTAAGTAAATAAATATTAAGTTCGAAAAAATTCAGGTCTACGGAAAAACCATATAAAAAGAGGTGTTTGGTCAGCAGTTAAAGATAAATATATTAGCTAAAGGGTCAATCCATATCATATCATCCATGTCATGTGAAAACCATGGTCTCAGATTTTGATGATTTTTTTGTTATATTTGTTTTATATTTAGCCGTCCTCATTAATGGAGTGCAATTTTATCATTACATCTAAATTACTTTTTACGTGTTATTTTTTAAAAATCTATAAAAAAAATGTATTTTCATTTTCGGAAAATGTAGTGTTATTGACGTGAAATCATAGTGGGGCATAATAATCCTCGATGGGGGGTTCAATTCCCATCTTAGTGAGTTAAGTTTCTTTTCGACTTGGAGTTTCTCTTTAAGCCAGATTTATAGCTATCTAAAAATACTTAAAGAAACCATCTATTCACTCACTAAATATAGACTTTGGTAATAATAATGAAACTCAGCAATGAAGCTTCAAAATGATAGGTCTGCCGTTTGATGGGGGAATCCCCAGGTACGTCACGGTAACTTAAAAAAAAACTGTCGTCCACGTTCAAGAATACCAACCTTACTTTCATGACATTGACTTCTCCATTATATCAAAAAGTTATGTACAGGTGAAGTTAAAAGTTATGATTTAATATTTCAGAAGATCATATTTCTAGAAATAGGAAAACGTCACGGGTAGGATAATATTTTTTATTCATGTTATTTGTAACTGTATTAACAAAATACTTATAGTAAATTTGTACGAATAGATATAATGACGTGAAAACACTTGTTTAAAAACTATCCACTGGTAGTACTCTAATAGAATAAAATTATTTTTGAAAGAAACTAATTAAAAATAGCAAAATCCCTATCATACTGATGCTCAGAAAAATATAGACCAGAGACTGCATATTTCACAACAATAACAAAATAGATAGTTCAATATTTGTGAATACACATATAGCATTTTAAAGTCATATTCAATATTTATTAAGTCAAATTCAATTTTTTTTAAAAGTAAAATTCAACTTTTAATTTAATTTAACTTTTCTGGATTTTTCGATAAAAGAGTTTATTACCTCATAAATCGAAAAATTCCGAAAAGTTAAAAAAATGGAAAGTTGAATTTGAAAAGGAAGAGGTTGAATTTAGTTTGGAAAACGTTAATTTGTCATGGAAACATTGAATCGACTTGGAAGAAATTTAATTTGAATTGGAAAAAAGTAGAATATGACATGGAAATGCTATATACCAGAATTAAATTTTTGGACATTAAATAAATAAATAAAAGTTACCTTTTTCAATTTTTTTTCAATGAAAATAATAATTGATAACTTATTGAAATCGGTTTGAGAAGATTAGAATCACACTAGATTTGAAGTCTATTTAATGAATTTAATGGATAATTTGATTTCTATAAGAAGAAGAAATTATGAACCATTCATAACCATTCATCAAAAGAAACCATTCATCATGAAGAAGAAATTAACAAAAAATCTAAGAGTTAAAAAATACCTACTACTACGAGTTGGAAAATAATTATTTTTTTACTCTTCAAAATAACTTTTTTATTTATTTATCGAATAATATAACAACATGTCACATGGACATTGGTAATATAACATTCACACAATATGCGAATGTAAAAAATAAACTGAAGGAAAATAACTAAATAATAATAATAATAAACTATATACAATAAATAACTTAAAGATAAATAAATTATTAAAAAACACATACATACCTATATACAATAAAAAATAATTATTAACTTACGTGAAATTCAAGAATACTCGAGTGCTTCATTTTCGACCACTTAACTGTTCTCTCTTAAATAATCGACTTGTTCACTACGACCGTATACTTATATATAAAACGCAATTGTTATGGTAATTAATAAACTGAGAAATTAAGGTTTATTATTATAAATAAATAAATAAAAGGTTATCGATATTATTATCCCGTGTACCGACACATTCCTGCGATTCCCCTGAACTGGAGACAGGACCTCCATACTCATGACAACTTCCCTTATCCGGAAAGGTAGGACCTTCAACCTGGAGGACTAGTCCAAGACAAGATTCGAGGTCGCTATTATAGAACTGGTTCCGAAATTTACATCCTAATGTGGCAATTTAGCATCTTCTATTAGTATAATTTTTTTTTCTCTCTTTGATCTTGCAAATAAATTTATTAATTATTCTGAACAAGTTATTTATATGTAAATAACCACATTTTATTCTTTTATATTATTTTTCAGACAGTTATAGTAACATACTGTGTTTTTTGTATGCAGTCGAGGCTAATGAACTCAAAACGTAGACTTGCCAAGCTCAGGAAAAAATGGTTCTTTCATAAATAAGAATACAGATCTCCAAATGTTTTTACCAGCAGATAGCACTGAAACCTTTACTAAATCCACTAACTGTAATTAATGATCAATGCTAATAATAAAAAAAAAACGATATTAACGATACTTTGCTATAATAATACCAATGTTTTAATATCAAGAGAAAACAGTATAATTCCACTTTTAAATATTTTTTAGGAAAGCAAAAACAAAACAAAAAACTTTAGCTTTATTGTTTAAGTATTAATTATAGGAAAATGAACCAAACATAAAAACGAACATTTGATTACTTTAATTGGATTTGTTTCTATTCTGTTGTAAAAATTTCACCTATCATCCAGAATTTTGACGCACAATCCCAGATAAAAGTGACCATATTTCTATCACATTCAACGTCCTCTGGTAGAAAATACGATCATCACCGAATAAAAACGATTTTTGTGAGGTTAAGTAATTTAAATACATTACAGCTTAATGTTATTATTCGGAAACGGAGTCAAAGTTAGATAAAAGGTAGGTGATGGTAAAAAAATAACGTAATGTCAATTTCATTGAATTATGTCCACTAATTTCTCGTATATATGAGCAAATGTGTTTTCCTTGGTACGTCTATATCTCTATAACCGCTTGTTGGGTTTGGCTCAAATTCGGAGGGAAGTTAGGGATTGGTAAACATATAATGAAGTAGGTATGAATTTTATCAAATTCTATCCACTTCTCCTAGTAAAAATACTTTCGCTTTCGGATCAGCAAACGTATTATTTGACAAGGCTATGGTTTGAAAACTGTACAACAATACAACAAACAATTCGACCCAAACTTAGAGGAAATTTGGAGAATAGTATAGAAATTTCCTAATATGAATTTCATTGAAATCTTTTTTGTAACAGGGAGCTTTCCTAATAACTTTTTTTAAGTAGATAGGTTTGACTTTATGATTTATTCATTTTTTTTAATTATATAAAAAAAATATGTTGACCCCAAAACCTGAGGTATTACTGGTACAAAATACGTTGGCAGAATTTCCTAAGGTTTTCATGAATAATAAACTAATTGAGTGTATAGAAAAAACTAAATTGGTAAAAGACTAAATTTGTTTTCAAATTGAATATTTAATAGTTGACCGTTGCATTATAAAGGTGGGAGATGGTCCGGGGTGGCGGTCATAAATAGGCTGAATAGTGACAAAACTATTTTATTAAAAGTCCAACGTTTCCCGACTTTGTAGGTCTTCTTCAGGGCTAGAACGGACAAGATACAAAAAGATAGAGAGTTGTGGAAGTTACATAATTTTATGACACAATATTATAAACAATGTGAATAATGTTATTAAAATTATAA